AATGATTATCCTAATTATATTTTAGATTTTTTATATTTAAAATTAGATGTTTATCCTGTATTTGATTGTGTTTATATGCCATTAGTTACACGAATTCAGTTATGGGATGAAATCGGATAGGGATGAAATTGTTTAGGGATGAACGAGTTTAAGAGTTTTAAGAGTTTAAGAGTTTTAGGCAAATGCTTTATAATATAGTATTGATATGTGTGTGTTTGTGTATATGTGTTCATATAATTCTTACATTAACAAAAATAATGGAATTTTTTGATTTTGTAACTCCCAATTAATCATATGGGAGTTACATAAAAAATAAAATTACCTAAATACTCTTTTCTCCTTTGTTCATATATGTTTTTTGAAATTGTAAATTTAAAAAATTAATTTTTTATCATGATCAATCACAACCGTTTATTGTAGGAATCAATGGCCAAGATTGGTTAACAAAGTTAACACAATAATCTTGGTTAACATTTGAACCAGCCTATATATATATATATATATAATAAAGTATTTAACAAAAAAATTAAAAATCATTTTTTATGTATGAAGTACTATTTATTGATGCATATTACTTAAAATTCAAGATTATAAATAAATTGCACGTAAGTACAATTTATTAGAGTTTCATGTTTGAATTTGTGTAACTAATTACAGATAAACAGGCTTGTTCCTGACACTTTATAGGCCCTGGACGAACGTAACAACATGACTCACTACGAGAAACAAGACTTTTAGCAACCATTTTTGTCGTCGCTAAAAGTCCATCTATCCTTAGAGAGAGTATATAACAACTACATGTTGTCACTATAACTTGTTACAGAAACATGTCATCGCTAAAAAGGCGCTTCGTCAAAGCTCATTTTTCTTGTAATGACCCTCGATAAGTACCAAAAAAAATTCAATAAATGTTTTTTGTTAATATAAAATTGAATACAAGAAATGCTAATAATTTACTTAGGAAAAAAAATCTTATTTATGTTTATTATAAATATATAAGATAATACTTAAATTTACTTACTTTTTATTAGGTGATTTGAAACCAAAAATATAGAAAATGTGGTTGATAAACTCTTATAAAAGGTAAGAATTTATTTAGTTCATAACAAGAAATATATGTTAATTTGATACAAAAAGAGAATTCGTGTGAATGAAGTAATCGTGAGGGTCAATGAGAGATCAATAATAGAAAAGGTTATCAAGGTTTTCTAGACAAGTAGACAAATGAGTATCAATAAGAATATAGAAGAGAAGATGATCCATTGAGATCCAATAAGAATAAATAATGAATTAAACATATAATATGCAAGCTCAACAAATGGTTGTTTGAGTTCTAAAACAAAATCTTATGGAGTGGTGGAATCCCAATGAAAGATATATTACTCAAACAATTGATGAAAATATTTAAATTCTATTTTCCTTTTTTTATGCTAAACTAAAATAAGATGTGAAAATTAAAAGTTTATGGAACATGACATATATAAGAGACGTTATTAAATACATCTAGTAACGAAAATTGTTAATTAATTACAAAACCATGAAACACGTCATAAATCATAAGAAAAATATATTGATTGTCAAACAATGGTAAAATATTTTGTGTAGAAGCAAAAATAGATAACAATAGTCAACAAAAAACAATTAGAACAACATAACCAAATAGCAATAGTCAATAGAAGCAGAAATAGATAAAAATATCCAACAAAAATATATAGCAGTAGCAAGCACGTGATCTTAACGTGGAATTGTTGAAGCACAATAACAATCAAGCATATAACAATAATCAATGTCATTAGACCTTACTGGAGATAAAAAAAATAGAGATGCAATAAACAATAGCATATACTAAATGACCATTTTTTTTTTCTTCTCCACTTTGGACTCACGATTTTAAAATGCGTCTGGTAGAGGAGGTATCAAGTCCCTTGTAAAGCAACATTTGTTCCTCTCTCCATCCAATGTGGGATCTTACAATCCATCTCCCTTAGGAGCCCAGCATCCTCGCTGGCACACTAGTCCAGTTCTTGGCCCTGATACCATCTATAATATCCAAGCCAACCGTATCAGATATTGTCCGTTTTTGTCCACATACTTCGACTCACGGTTTTAAAACGTGTCTCATAGAGGAGGTATCAAGTCCCTTATAAAGCAAAATTTGTTCCCTTCCCCAACCAATATGGGATCTTACAATCCACCCCGTGGGAGCGCAACATTCTCGCTAGCACACTAGTCCAGTTCCTGGCTCTGATATCATCTCTATAACATCCAGGCCAATCGTATCAGATATTGTCCGCTTTTGTCCACACACTTGGACTCATTTAAAATACGTCTCATAGAGGACGTATCAAGTCCTTTATAAAACAACCTTTGTTCCCCTCCCCAACCAATGTGAGATCCTACAATCCACCCCCCCCCCCCCTCTCTTTGGGAGCCCAGCATCCTTGCTGGCCCACTAGTCCGGTTCCTGGCTCTGATACTATCTATAACATCCAGGTCAACTGTATCAGATATTGTCCACACACTTGGACTCACGGTTTTAAAATGCGTCTTATAGAGTAGGTATCGAGTCCTTTATAAAACAACATTTGTTCCCCTTCCCAACCAATGCAGGATCATACATCCCAGCTCTACTTTAGGTTTATCTGGTTAATTTGAGGACTGGATTAGGGCCGAAGTCAGGAATTTATGATAAGGGGGTTCGATCATTCGGTGTCGTACTTTATTGTAGAATAATCACGACAAAATATTGTATTTGATCAAACAACATTCCTCTAACATAAAAGAAACTTACATCTTAGATTAACACATGATTTATGAAGGATGCTTTGATTATGACATTGATATTGTCCAATTTTAATATCTGCTCACTAATTTCTCCATGTTGGTTGGTTACTTAGTATGCTTAAGTTAAAATTTGTGTTCTTAGATCAGGAATCATAAAATTTATATTGATATCCTTCGAATTTAGCCCATCAATCTCTTATAGTCTCTTCCATATCAACCACAATCTACACAAGATAATAATTTAATATTTTGTTAGAACTCAATAATTACCTTAATTATATTTTAGTTTTTTTATATTTAAAATGAGACGATTATCGTATATTTAATTATGTTTATCTACAGTTAGTTACACGAATTTAAACATGAAATTTTAATAAGTTGTATTTACGCACAATTAYTTGTAATCTTGAATTTTAAATAGTATGTGTAAATAAACAGTACTTCATACATAAGAAATAATTTTAAATAATTTTTATTAAATATTTTATAATATAGTTTAGATAATATTGTATACACGCATAAAATATTTACACAAATATTATTTAATGATGAAATATTAAAAAAAAATTAACGGTTATGGGTGACCAATTCTTCCACGTCATTCAACCTAAGCATCCACCATGCAAATTTTCCTGCTTTCTATTGGTCCACAATTATCTGACGTGGATAATATAATGATTAACATGTGAATTTTGAATGGTATGCGGTTCAAACCATTGGAGCTATGAGAACATGACACGTGGAAGAGTAACTGTTTTCTCTCCTCTTTTCCGTCTATATATCCATCTTATCTTCCCCAAATTCAAATTCATCTCCCTTTCTTAAACCCTACATTTCCTTTATCCTAAACCATTCCATCCAATTCACTACCAAAATCCTTCTTTACCAACATGGAAATGTCGTTGATCGTAAGTTCGCCGCCCAAGTTTACGATCAGAAGAAGAGATTTGCTTCACAATAACAAGAATCTGATGATCATCTGTTCGTCTGCCTCCAAGTCACAGATTGGTTTTGGTCATATTATCAGATGCCCTAATCTTCCTCTTAGCGTAACTGCTCACTCTAAAACTGCTATATCCACCAAAGCTTCTGATCGTAACACCATATCCAATTCTGTAAGTTCTTAACCTTCATTTCCTTTTTATAAAATCTGGTAGAATGGATTAAACTTGTATTTTTTGAACTGAAATATCCATATTAGGACTCTTCTTTGTGGCACAACTGAGTCCAAGTTAAATTGGGTACTTAATTCTGCTTAGTGAACTTATTTTGATCTGTAGATACTTGTTCTATGTGCAGAAAGATGGTGTTAAAATATATGTTGGATTGCCAATGGATTCTGTGTCTGATTGCAACGGAATTAAGCATTCAAGAGCAATAGCAGCAGGACTTAAGGCTTTGAAGCTATTAGGAGTTGAAGGTGTAGAGCTCCCAATTTGGTGGGGAGTGGCAGAGAAGGAAGCTATGGGAAAATATGAATGGTCAGGCTACCTTACTCTTGTGGAGATGATTCAAAAAGTGGGTCTAAAGCTCCATGTTTCTCTCTGCTTCCATGGCTCCAAAGAGGAAAACATTCCCCTCCCTAAATGGGTTTCTGAAATTGGGGCATCTCAACCGGATATCTTCTTTACTGACCATTCAGGGAAGCATTATGAAGACTGTCTATCTTTTAGTGTTGATGATCTTCCTGTTTTTGATGGCAAAACCACAATGCAAGTGTACAAAGGATTTGTTGAAAGCTTCAAGAACTCCTTCTCTCCATTTATGGGTTCCACAATCACGGTAAGGAGTTAAACAAGTTCTGTTCTTTTCAACCTCAAACATTTAGATGTAGTTCATGATCATGACAAATGGGATGATGGAACCCAGTATCTTGCTGTATGTATCTTATAAATATCGAATTCTGGAAGATAGACCAACTTTACAGTTCAGCCATCCGTAATTCAGGTCTATTTGAAAATAGCTAGAATACATTTACCCCTATACCATTTTCTGATGACTTTTGATCATAAGGCCATGTTTGCTAACCATAAGCTAGCTTTTAAGCTTTTGCGCTTATTGAGAAGGTCTAGTTTGATTAGCCATAAACTGGCTTTTGAAAAAGCTGCATCAAGTCGCTTTAGTAAGCTCCATAGGTTTTTTTCCAATTATTCCCATTATGGTTTCCCAATTTATTTTCCAGCATGTATTTTTAAGGTTATTTTACATTGTCATTCAACTTATCATCTAGCTTTTGCCAAACATGACTAGTTTATCAACTAACAACTAGATTATTAACCAACAAACACCTTATCCAATAATAGTCGTGTATGATGATTAAAAGGGATCCTGATTGATGAATCTTGCAGGGCRTAACAATTGGAATGGGACCAGATGGTGAGCTYCGGTATCCATCTRACCAAGATYACAGCAARAATAGTGTTGGTCCAGGAGCAGGAGAATTTCAGTGTTACGACCAAAACATGATGAGACATCTCAAGCAGCAGGCCGAAAATMTTGGGAACCCTCTTTGGGGACTTTCTGGTCCTCATGATGCACCAACTTACAACCAGCAGCCCATCCTWAACACATTCTTCAAAGAAGCAGGATCATGGGAGACTCCTTATGGCGATTTCTTTCTTTCATGGTATTCATCCCAACTCATATCTCACGCTGACCGAATCCTATCATTAGCCGCCTCAACTTTTAGCCAGACTCCAATCGTGGTATCTGGTAAACTGCCTCTTATTCACTCGTGGTACAAAAGCCGATCCCATCCAGCAGAGGTAACTGCAGGATTCTATAACACAATCAACAGAGACGGGTATGAAGAAATYGCCAAAATTTTCTCAAAGAACTCGTGTAAAATGATCTTGCCAGGAATGGATCTTTTGGACGAACAACAGCCAACTGAGTCCTTTTCAAGTCCCGAACTACTACTTGCAGACGTTAGAACTGCTTGCAGAAACCAAGGTGTTGAGATTTGTGGTCAAAACTTGAACATTGCAGGCACCCCCAAGAGTCTTAAACAAATTGAGAAGAATTTGGCAGGTGGGAACGGAATCAATCTGTTTCTTTACCAGAGAATGGGTGGGGAGTTCTTTTCGCCAAAAAACTTCCCTTTGTTTTCAGGTTTTGTTAGGAGTTTAAACCAAATGGAACTGGATTCAGATGACTTGGCTGTAAATGAGAGAGAAGCTGCTGTATATGTACCTGGAAAGAACCGAAAACTGCAAACTGTATAGAGTTATGATGATTAGATGTTTTGCTGCAATACTTGTACATTGTTCTTATGCAAAACCATACTTGAGTATATTCTTGTCTACATGTTGAGATACAACACTGTGAACCCTTTTAGCTCGTAAGCATTCCCAAAGATCCGACTATCGATTGAATTTTGAACTTGATCACAAGGAAAACATATGAATTCGAGCTCGAATTCATGTCTATGTGGCATTCATCAAATGCAAGAAGAGATCACATGCATTCTATGATATTCAATGAAGGATTAAAAGTTGAGTGAGAATTTTGAAAGTAATGGCAAATACCATTCTTTTTAATTAAATTACATGGAATGCATGCAGAATGGCAATAAAGGAAGTAATGGCTTGGTTTATTGAAAAATAATATTTAGAAAAAAATTTATTTTTTTATTTAAATTTAAAATTTGATAAAGAATGGAACTGAACAAATTATATCTAAAAAACAAGATTTTTTTTTTTTAATTTAACATTTATGTTGTTATATTTTTTTCATCCCTTTTTTGGACCAAGGTACTAATTATTGTTTATTTACTATAACGATATGTATATATGTTTAAATAATAATGTTGTCATCATATATACAAATATATGTTATCACCTACGCAAATGTTAGTTTGTGGACGTGAAATGTACAATCCAATTAGGCATGGAAATGGGTCCCGACTTGTCAGGGAACCTGGTCCACCCGTCTCGGTCGGGGACGGGGATTCTCTACTAAATCAGAGATGGGGATGGGAACGGAGATCTCCGTTTGTCTGAAACTGGGGATGGGGATGGGGACGGGGACGGGTATCGTATTCCCCGCCCCACCCCATACCCATTATATATATTAATTAATAAATTATATATATTTATACACAAACACACACACACACACACATTTGAGATTCCGTAAGTAAATGATACTTTCTGTTTTGTCGAGAGGAAAAGGGGACATTGACATTCATCTTCCTCTCGAAGGGCTTTGAGAAGAGGGGCAACAGTGAAGATGCCGAGAATGGCCGTGTCTATGGGGATTACCGGTCTTAGTAAGAATCTGTTGCAAATGCATGTGAGGGAGGAATGCCAGCATTAAGATTTAAAACTTGTCGTCTACTTGAAGGAAATGTTTGGAATAGGGAACTTACAATAATACAACGCCGCATATATATATATATATATTATTTATTTCAACTAAAGCGGTAATTCATAATTTCTTATTTCCTAACCATGTTTATAATCTAAAATTGTTGTTTTTTAGACATTAATATGTAATATTTTGAATGTCAAGTCAAAATACAATTACTCGATAAATTTTGTATATTACTCAATATGGTTGCCCCTAAAAGTTGGACGAGTATCTATCTAGTGTTTGGTACAACTAGGACCGGATAGGACACAACTAAACAAGTTGCCCCTAAAAGTTGTTTTATGATTCTCTATATCATATAATAGTTAAAAATCACATAAACAAAGCAAATATTTAAATAATTTAATGTATAAACATTTTTACACAATTTTCATAGACATAAATATACACATATAATTGTACCAAATTTGAATAAAAATTATGTTTTGTTCGGTCTGGAAGATCCTTATGAGTTGATAAAGACACAATGAAGGTTGTTGCAACAACAATAGTTATGGAGGTAGAAGTAGTGGTGGTTGGTGGATGTGGAGGACGTGAAAATGATGGATAGTGATAGTGGTGGTAAAGGGCGACCAAAAAGGATGATGTGGTGGAGGTGGTGAGCAATGGCATTGGTAGCCAATAGTGGTGGTCGTGGTTATGGTGAAGGTGTAGGTGGTGGTGGGAGATCGTGCTAGTGGTCGTGGCAATGGTCGGTAGTGCTTGATGGTCATGATGGTTGATGAGGTAGAGGTAGTGATAGTGGTATTGATATTGGTGGACAACGATGGTTATAGAGGAATTGAAGATGGTGGATAATAGTAGTGTTGGCAGCATAAAATATATACATAAATATTATTTTTTAATTAAATATTAAATATTAATTTGAGTGTTATGGGCGACCTATGCTTCCACGTCGTTCAATCTCGGCATCCACCATGCAAATTTTCCTGCTTTCTATTGGTCCACAATCATCTGACGTGGATAATATAATGATTACCATGTGAAATTTTGAGGCTCAAACCATTGGAGCTATGACAACATGACACGTGGAAAAGTAACTGTTTTCTCTCCTCTTTTGCGTCTATATATCCATCTATCTTCGCCTCTTTCCCAAATCAAATTCATCTTCCTTCTTAAACCCTAAATTTCCTTTATCCTAAACCATTTCATCCAAATTAACCACCAAATCCTTCTCTACCAACATGGAAATGTCGTTAATCGGAAGTTCTCCGGCCAAGTTTGCGATCAGCAGAAGATATTTGTTTCAATTGAGCAATAACAATAACAAGAATCTGATGATGATCTGTTCGTCTGCCACCAAGTCCCAGATTGGTTTTGGTCATATTATCAGATGCCCTCATCTTTCTCTTAGGGTTACTGCTCAATCTCAATCTACTATATTCACCAAAGCTTCTGATCGTAACACCATAACCAATCCTGTAAGTTCTTAATCTTCATTTTTTTATAAAATCTGGTAGAATGGATTGTTGGTTACCCTTTCCTCATCTAATTCAGCTGATTAAACTTGTATTTTTTGAACTGAAATATCCATATTAGGACTCTTCTTTGTGGCAAAACCAAGTCCAAATTAAACTGGGTACTTAATTCTGCTTAGTGAACCTATTTTGATCTGTAGATATTTGTTCTATGTGCAGAAAGATGGTGTTAAAATATATGTTGGATTGCCAATGGATTCTGTGTCTGATTGCAATGGAATTAACCATTCAAGAGCAGTAGCAGCAGGACTTAAGGCTTTAAAGCTATTAGGAGTTGAAGGTGTAGAGCTCCCAATTTGGTGGGGAGTGGCAGAGAAAGAAGCTATGGGGAAATATGAATGGTCAGGCTACCTTACTCTTGTAGAGATGATTCAGAAAGTGGGCCTAAAGCTCCATGTTTCTCTCTGCTTCCATGGCTCCAAAGAGGAAAACATTCCCCTCCCCAAATGGGTTTCTGAAATTGGGGAATCTCAACCAGATATCTTCTTTACTGACCACTCAGGACAGCATTATAAAGACTGTCTGTCTTTTGGTGTTGATGATCTTCCCGTTTTTGATGGCAAAACCGCAATGCAAGTATACGAAGGATTTGTGGAGAGCTTCAAGACTTCCTTCTCCCCATTTATGGGTTCCACAATCACGGTAAGGAGTTAAAAAAAAGTTTCTGCTCTTATTTGGCGTAAAAAATAGGACGTAATTTATAATCATTACAAAATGGGATGATGGAACGACTATCTTGCTGTATATATCTTTTAAATATCAAATTCTGGAAATGACATTTGATCATAAGGTCATGTTTGGCAACCTTAAGCTAGCTTATAAGCTTTTGAGCTTATCGAAAAATCCTCATTCAATAGCCATAAACTAGCTTTTTGAAAAGCTACTTCAAGTAGTGTTTTAACAAGCTCCATAGGCTTTTTTCCAATTACCCCGATTATAGTTTTCCAATTAATTTTTCAACATGTCTTGTTAGGTTATTTTACATTCTCATCCAACTTATCAGCTAGTCTTTTTAACAAAAACGACTAGTTTATCAACTAACAACTAAATTATTAGCCAACGAACACCTCATCCAATTATAGATTTGTACGACGATTAAAAGGGATACTGATTGATGAATCTTGCAGGGCATAACAATTGGAATGGGACCAGATGGTGAGCTTCGGTATCCATCT